CCCTACACAATTTGATATGTTGATATAAATCCTTGGATACAGAAAAAATATCAATCTCTAATTTTTTTTTCTTTGGTCTTCTTTAGTCTAAATATGCCAGGGGTCAACAATGAAGCTAAAACATAAAATTTGAAGGTTGTAATTATAGTTTTCCTAGAATATGGGGTGGTTTTTTAAAACATTATATAAAGTGGGTCTTTGAATGTGGAGCACCAGAAGGAATTGTTCATTATGGCAAAGGAGAGCAAATATACCACACAAAAGAAGTAAGAAACAAGATTAAAAATGGTACTGAGAAAAGAACTCACTATGAGAGCTCCTGTAGGATCAATCCACCAGGCAAACCGGACGGCTAAGACGGCTGCTGCCAAGCCAACGGAATTGGTAACGACGTCGAAAAAATGGTCTTGCGCATAGGCTCGGACGATTTCATTTTTAAATCTACGACAGTAGACCATGAGCACAAACTTCACTATTGTGACAGCAACCATGATCCCTATCATCCATTCCTCCTCCTCACGAGTCATTTCTGGCTTGGACTGCACGGCACAGAAGTAGTGATTCTTTAACAATTACTAAAAACTGGAATGAGCATGAAAATGAACTGTCTTAATTAACAAACAATAAGCCAATAAATTTAGACATGTACATAATGTACGAGGGAAGAATACAAAATGTTGCTTTTAATGTTGTGAGATAGTTGTTACTTATGAAACAAATCAGTGTTGAGCTAAGATCTCTTTACATGCCTCGGTTGGACTCTAAACAGACAGCAATTTAGGTCGTGTTTGTGTCAACTTAAATTTTTATGTCGGTTTTGAAATTGACCCACATGTCACCCGTTGAGTGAAGTTTTCACAACTAATAAAAATAACTTGATCTATTTATCTGAATTTTACTTGCGAATTTAGGTCACTAATTCTATAATCATTTCATTTTACTTTAAATGAAATTTGTCGAACCCAAATTGCGATGATGCAAAGTTCGCACACCTTTGTAACGAGGTGCCGGATAGACTCGAGCAAAATTTGCAGTCCAAGAGTTGCCATTACAGATGCAAAAACAATGATACCCTGCATATTAAGCCTTGATCAAGATAGAGATAGAATACATGAAGATTAAAAACAACTTTGGGAGTGGAAATTCATGTAGTAAGCACATCATACATATCTTGGCTTCATATTTCTCTGCTTGGTCCACCAACTATCCTAAATGTTAATTTAAATTATCCCTAAATTTTAAATTCAATAGGAAGAGTCTCAATCTTTCAAAAAATTATGCTCTTTTTTTTGCTTAAAAAAAAAAATTATCAATATGTCCTTACGTTCTTACCCAGCGTCACTTTTAGAATCTATTAGAGACTAAGAATACAAATTTTTTGAAAACTTAGGGATTAAATGGTACAATGTGAACGGTCAAGAAACAATTAAGAATTTGTCCAGAACGAGTTAGTCACAAACAATACAATTTTTCTTTAAAAAGAAATTAAATTTATGTTTGTTTAGTTTTGAGGATTCAAACCACCTTAATTTTGGTTCAAACAGTTTTGTCTCTCATAAAATATTTAAATTTAAAGGTTCTGATGCAATCTTTTTGCTTATAAAATTGAAATTATAGTTCAAACTACTTGATTTGAACCCTTAAATCAAACGAGCACTAAAATTTTGGGGCTAAATTAACCTAAAACTTAACCAACCAAGAGTTTTAAAGCCACACAATCAAATGAGTAGAAGGTAGAATAATGTACCACTGGCTGCATACGATTCTTTCCAATGGGATAATGATATTGATTTGATTTCTTCATTGCGTTTGCAGTGAACCACAAAATAAATCCTGACAAGAGATCCAATAGAGAATCCAGAGTAGAGGCAATGACTGCCAGTGATTTGCTCTCAATTGAAGCATAAACCTTTGCTGCAAACAGCACCAAATTAGCTATGTTTGATGCATGAACTGCCATTCTTTCACTCTTCGCGAGCTTCTTCATTTCATCCTGTATTAAAAAAAAAATAATAATAATAATAATAATAATCTAAGTGTTAAAAATAACACAAGTTATATATTATAAAATATGTTCATAGACTAAAAGAGAATTATCAATCAACATAGTCAAACTGATAAAATTAAAAGAACTGGATCTCACTCTGTTGTGTTATATAGCATTATGTACTATTATATGATGATGGCAATACCAATAATGATTCTATAAATATTGTCCAAATTCAGGGGAGGGAATTCATAAAATTATATATACATATATATATATATATAGATATAGCATCAAAACAGAACAATGAACCTCTGTAAGACTTCCTGGAGCGCAACCCAATTCAGTCATGGTATCCATCTCATTGAAACCTTCAAGAAGCCTTTCTTGTTTTTTGTAATATTCTGCAACTTTGTATTGTTTCCCTGAAATTATCAAACAGAAAATTTCAACTTTGGGTGAAAGTAGATGGCAGTTGATCCAAATTATCACATTTGGCAACATTTTGACAAATAAATTGTTATTATGGCCATTAAGTGAAGTTAAATACTGAGAATTACTTCTAGCACCACCATATTTACTTACATTTTTTTTTTTTGGGGGGGGGGGGGGGGTGAGAAATCAAGTTGGTTTATGGTGTGTCAAAGAAAAAAAAAAGGTAAATAGCCCTTTTGCAATTTAATTATGTGTTCAATTCATGAAAATTATTGTTTGGTGGGCTTCACGAATATATGAAATGAAAAAAGAAAATGTTAAGTTCTCATATTCCTTAGTATTGATTATCTGTCAAAGTGAAGTGATACTAAATTGATTTTCTTTCTCTTTTTTTTGGTGGGTAGAAGTAATACTAAATTGAATTATGCATGCTTGGTAAGCTCCCGTGTTATAATATAGTGATAATTTAATAATGTCAGATGTAGTGAGTACATTTATCAGATTTAATATTTTGATTTAGTAAACACTAAACGAGAAATTAGATTACGTCTAAATCTACTTCCTAATGGGTAAGTAAATATCAAATTGGGCGCATATGTCTCATTCATTCTAACTTCTTTTATGTCCTCTTATAATATTATAACCCATTAATTAAAATATTTTAACACACTCTACTTTTTTATTGATGTGGCACAATATCATGACATTTTAAGTGATGTATCATGATATTATTAAAGGGATATAAAATGGAATAAGAACAAGATTAGGGACACAAGAGTTGAGTCCATAAATAATGATAAAAAAATCTATGTTCTTATTCAGTTTCTTTTCTTTTCAAACTCGTTAGTCGTTACCTTAATAATTAAACTTCATTATGGTTTTGTAAGCATACTCTAAGTGGATTAACAAAGTGGTTCCTAAAGTTTCATCTATTTGTCATATTTTGTAAGAGTGTGCTTTGGTGTCACGTCAGAATTGACACGGTGATTTAAAAATTGAAAGGGATTTTAAAGTTCAAATTGAATCATATATATAAATATATATAATAATCAATTAAGTTTTGTAGGGTCGGGTGATGAATCGATCGCATAACCTCAACCTAATTCAATTAAGTTTCATATATATATATATATATATTATTTTATAAAATTTGCATTCTTGGATTTTCCCTCTTCTATGTTGTTGTGACTAAGTTTTGAAAATATATATATTATATATGGTTTACACGTGTTAAAACTAGGGAAAAATAAATAAATCACAAGAATCACACGTGTAAAGAGATTAAAAAAAAAAAAAAAGTGATTCCTTCAACCACTCTGTATAAGGTTGTAAGTTTGCTTTCACTCATGCTTTGAATCATGAGTGTAAATGAACTTTGCAAAAATGTCGGAGGGACCTTAAGGAAAAAATTATAAATATTTTTTTCTTTTATTGTTCAGAACAAAAAAATACTTTTAGCTCCATGAATCAACTCAATCTAATGTAATTGTCTATGTAATTCTTCTAGTTATTTCCTTTGAATATCACGTTTATGCACATAAAAATAAAAATAAAATAAAAAAATAAAAAACTCATGCATGGTTAAATAAGTCCAACGGTAATTATGACAATAAATTCCAAGTCTAATCACTAAATATATTGTTCGGAATAATTAAAGCTATAACTCACGCAATTATTTAGCCACGAATATATTGTTCGGAATAATTAAAGCTATAACACATAGTGAATGCCACCTTCAAAGCTACCGGAAAAACAGCGGGTATTTTTCCAAAACAACAACGATGGAATTAAAGCGATATCAACAAGCAAATAATGATTTTTTTTTTTTCGTTTTCATTTTCTTATTTGAATCTGCGTTTGATTCCACTAAAAATGCTAGAAATACAAAAAACAAAAAACAAAAAAGACTCCAGATATATATAAAGCCAAAGAGAAAAGACAGGAGAGTAGTGGAAAACCAAGAGTGCACTAGGAAAAGCGAAAACATCTATATTTCCCTCAAAATAAAAAGGTATTTTCCTTATAAAAAAAAGTATTCTATATCCCCTCAAAAAATATATATTATCTTTGGAACAGCCCAAAAAAAAAAAAAAAACACTTTGGGACATAAACCAGCAATAGCAGCATTATAAAAAGCAAAACTAGCTTTTGTCATAAAATTTGCGCACTGACCAAATAAATTAGCTCTTATTTTCTAAGTTACGAATAGAAACATATGGTACTAGGACCTGTTCACTTCGCTGATTTGAGTTGAGACGTGACTTTATATGAGAGTTTTTTACTGTAACAAAAAAGTTAGATGTGATTGTTTGTGAGAGCTTTTTACTGTAGAAAAACTCGAATTCTAAACTCGAATCAGCGAAGTGAACGGGGCCTAGATTCGTTCTATGATTCGAATCATGGTTCGTGGTTCGCTACGGTATTTTCTCTCATAAAAAATACATGTAAATAAAAAATAATTCTAATTATATGATTTGAATCCATGAACCAAACGCCACCTTATAGATATAAAATATGGTACAAAAATTTTATTTTGCCTCTAGTGTTTAGTGCCGATATTCCACTTCACTTGGTTTCTCAGAATAATTAGAAAACGTAAACGGGCAAAGCTAAAAAAAAGTTCTGTTGAACCCAGAAAAATAGCCTTTCAAATTCACTCATCAATTCACACCCAAATACAGAAAACAAAATCAAAATTCCAACAAAAGAGGGTCAAAAGAAAGGGCCAGAAAAAGTAAAATTGAGAGATTAGTTCTAATTTAAAAAGCTTATCTATAGGTAATCACTGCACCACGTAATAACGTGGGACCCAAAAAGTACACATGGCATGATCATATGAAAAAGAGAACGCACAATAACCCTTCAAAACTCCTACTTTCTCCAATGATGATGAAATTAGAAGGTTTTGATAAAGCGAGAATAAGAGTACGTACTCGGGCTGCGAAGTAGGCGACGGAAACCAAATGAACTACAGCGATGATGGTCGTCGTTATGGCGAGGGCTCGATCTCTCCGGCAAATGGAAGTCGTTGAGGTCGAGCCTCCACGAAAAGCTCTTCTCCGGCGAGAGTCCGGCGATGTCGACCGGCGGCGACGGCGAGAGAAGAGGTTCTCTTCTGTTGCAGTCGTCGGCGATGATGCTCGGCGACGACGGAATACTACTCGCACTTCCGCCGCCGATGTTCTCCATTCGATGATGATGATGATGTTCACAATATCATATAGAGAAGGGGTGTGAAGAGAAGAAAACAGAGACGTGTTTGATATTATTGGGTGGTTTTAAAGATAGGTTTTTTTTTTTTTTTTTAAGTTTCTTATATGATAAGTATTTGCTATTTAGCCTTTCAAAAAAAAAAAAAAAAAAGAGTATATGGGATTTAGACCAAAAAAAAAAACTTATAACCAACTCCACTTACGACGAGTACGTGGAGATATACGTGTGTCACTTGCTCTCGGGAAGGTAGCATTTCGTGAAGTCAATTTGCGCCCTTTTTTTTTTAAAGGGGAATCTATGCCATATTCGAGTTAAGATTTGATATTTTTTAAAAAATTTTAACTGTAATAAGAAAAATAAATGTGATATTTTTTAAAAATTTTAATTGTATAAATTTAAAACTGAAAATTCGAATTGTTAAAATAAATGAAGTCTAAAGATTAAAGTAACAAGCGATGCTTCATTTTGCAACACAAACTAGAGAAAAAAACATTTTAATAAAAACTTTAAAAATACAATATTTTTCTTAAGCCAGCAAACAATTAACAAAAATTGAGGCAACAATATTATATATATATATATATTATAAAATATTTTTTTTCTTTTTTTTACTTTTTTTGATCAATAGAATACAAGTTTTCTTTATATAGATACACTTGTATTTTATCAAAATAATAGAGACACCGCATTCATCAAACCTAACCACGTTAGTACCCATTTTCTTAACTATGCTAACTTTTAAAGATAAAATGGTGAAAATAACCAATTATTTTATGTTGTTTATGGCAATACCACTCAATCTTAGCAATTTAATCTCTGAATTAGAGCCAAAATTCCTTACAATTTAACTCCCCAGAGCCATTAGGGTTAGTTGCTAGTGTTGTCATTATTCATGGACTAAATTACTGAAAAATGAGAATTTAGGGATGAAGATGTAAAACTATGAGAAACGGAAAATTGATTACAAAGCCAATTATATATATATATATATATATATGTGTGTGTGTGTGTTACACCATGGTCGAGACATCAACCACTCTCTCGAACGACAGGCGCCGAGGACTCCTCGTTGGGAATCGGTCGCTGGCATCGAGGGAACGGCTGTAGCTAAGGTGCCTTTTACGTCGAGAAATCATACGTGGCGAAAGGTGTCGAGCACAATGACTCGACTTCTGAGGGCCACTACGTCGAGACAGCATGCCCGGTTAAACCCATCAACGGTCTTGTCAACTCGGGGAAGGAAGTACGGGTCCAACTGCTACTGCAGGAGTCAGGAAATCAAGCGGCAGATGAGAGGGATCAGTCGCCTTTCCTGAGGTTGCCATTATGAAAACTCACCTACCTACCCGTAAATCGAGGACGGAAGATGGCTTCCTCCTTGGAAACGGAGAAGGCATGATCACATGTAAAGGCCTATAAATAGAGCCAAGAAAACCCAAAAAAGGGTTACAAACCATTTCATTACTCAAAGAGAGCTTGTAATCTGCTGAGATATTAGTGTATTCACAAGTGGATTAGGTAAAGAGTTATTGCCGAACCACTATAAAATCATTGTCTCCTTTACAGCATTTTTCAGTTTTCAATCTCTAATCGAACCGTGAGCGTTACCGCATGTGTTTCTGGAGAGATAATCACGAGTTGTCAGAAAAATACCGTCAACAATTGGCGCTAGAAGGAGGGCCTTAAACCCAGAAATCTAATCTAGTTTTTAACAGAAAAGAAACGGCAACTATGCCTCCTAGGAACGCTCGCATGCTTAACAGCCGACCAGAGGAGCCAGGCAAGCCAAAATCCCACCGCCGCGGGGACCTCAACGAATCCGGTCCCACCGGCTGCCGTAAATCTCCCAGACCGTATTGACCAGCTTCAAAAGCAGGTCGAAACGCTCGCCGCAGCCGTTGAGAGGATGGCTACGGCCCTAGCTGGGCGGGATCAAGGGCAGGACTCAATGTCACCGCTGGAGGACGCGCCGATGAACCTGGTGAACGCCGCCATTGGGAACCAAGAGATTGGTGACCAACGCGGTGACACCGAGGAGGTCGGTGATAGTAGAGCCAAGGATCCTCGCCCGACTAAGTCGAACAGGTCTGTGGGGAGTAGACAACGGGCGGCACGGAGGAGAGCGCGGGAAAAGGTTGCGGCGCAAGCTGTGAATAACAGGGATGCACCCCCTCGACCGTAACATGACGCGAATAGGAAGAATGCTGTCCCCGTGGGATCTTCGTTTGTGCACGGCGGAGACCTTAGGACGAAGCTCGACGCTCGACGTGGGAAAGCCGTGCAGCTGGCGAGAGAGGATGAGCTCGCATGAGATAATAAGGCTCTGGCCGAGAAGATGGTCAGGCTTGAGAAGCAGATTGGGAGTTGATTAAACAACTTCGAGCAGGTTGTGGGGAAGGTAGCCGAGGCGGTCAACGTCGACGCCAAGATGTACACATCCCACGACCACCCGTTCATAAAAAATATTATCCGGGTGCCACTGCCAGATAAGTATAAATCACCCCTCATTCCGCTATATGATGGAAGGAGTGATCCGGACGACCACTTGGACGTGTACACAGGGCATATGGTCCTGCATGGATACCCCGAGGAAGTCATGTGCTGAGCATTCAATAATCATCTTTCCAATTTTGCCAGGAGATAGTTCAGATCCTTGAAACCAAACTCCGTCACCAGTTGGGATGATTTGAAGAACGCCTTTTTGACCCAGTTCATAGGTGTCAAAAATACATCCCACCGAAACAAAACCTCTCAAAGGTGTACCAGGGGCCTAATGAGTCCCTGAAGGACTGGATAGCCCGGTTCGGGGAACAGGTTGCCGCCACCGAGGGAATCTCCGACGATGTGGCTTTGATGGGGGTGCTGTCGAGCATGAAAAAGGATATCCCCTACAGCACAAACCTCGACCGGAGACCACCCCATACCTACTAGGAATTCCTAACAAGGGCATAGGGATTCATCAACGCCGAGGAGGCTAAGAAGGCCCTGAAGAGCAAGGCAGCAACCCCTGCCAAGGAAGAGGTAGGGCAGGCAAGCAATCAAAACAACGGTAAGAAGCGCTGAGGTCACCCTCAGGTGCAAGCCAAGCAGAAGTACAACCCAGCCCCACACAACAGGGGTGGCAATGCCTCAACGAGCCAGGAGGAAAACAAGCGACCGAAACCGCAAAGGTACGACGCCTATACCCCCTTGACTATGGGGATCGAAGACGTCTACCACAAGATCAGTCACCTCCAGGTCCTACGTCGACCGCCACCGCTGAAGTCCGACCCAGCACGGAGAAACCAAAACAAGTACTGTCGGTTGCCGGGAGAGGAGTGGTGGAGATCAACTTTACTTCCGAAAAAAGGCTTATTTTGAACAATGTTCTTCATGTTCCTGACATTAGGAAAAATCTTGTATCCGCTAGTCTTATGTGTAAGAATGGGCTTAAGATTGTACTTGAGGGCAATAATTGTATTGTATCTAAGAATGTGATCTTTGTGGGAAAAGATATTCTTATAATGACATGTACAAACTAAGCGTTAATAATAAAAATGATGTGAATTCTCTTTATAAAGCCAAACAGAAAAGACATGAGAGTAGTGGAACACCAAGACTGCACTAAGAAAAGCGAAAACATCTATATTTCCCTCCAAATAAAAAATATATATATATATATTTTCCTTAAAAAACATATTCTCCTTAAAAAAAACATATTCTATATCCCCTAAAAAAAAAATATGTGATCTTTGGAACAGTCGGAAAAAAAAAAACTTTGGGACATAAACCAGCAATAGCAGCATTATAAAAAGCAAAACTAGCTTTTGTCACAAAATTTGCGCACCGACCAAATAAATTAGCTCTTATTTTCTAAGTTAGGAATAGAAACATATGGTATACACGGTACTGAATTTACGATCTTAAAACTGAATCACTTATAGATATGAAACTAACTTTTTTTTTTCTTTCACAAAAATTGCTACAAAATATGGTACAAAAATTTTATTTTGCCTCTAGAGTTTAGTGCCGATATTCCACTTCACTTGTTTTCTCAGAATAATTAGAAAGCGTAAACGGGCAAAGCTAAAAAAAAGTTCTGTTGAACCCAAAAAAATATCCTTTCAAACTCACTCATCAATTCACACCCAAATACAGAAAACAAAATCAAAATTCCAACAAAAGAGGGTCAAAAGAAAGGGCCAGAAAAAGTAAAATTGAGAGATTAGTTCTAATTTAAAAAGCTTATCTAAAGGTAATCACCGCACCACGTAATAACGTGGGACCCAAAAAGTACACATGGCATGATCATATGAAAAAGAGAACGCACAATGACCCTTCAAAACTCCTACTTTCTCCAATGATGATGAAATTAGACGGTTTTGATAAAGCGAGAATAAGGTCGTTAATTTTATTGATTTGAGTTTGTAATTTAAGTTGAGATATAATTTTATGTGAAAATTTTTTATTGCAGTAAAAAATTTAAATATAATTATTTATGAGAACTTTTTATTATAATAAAATTTGAATTCTAAACTCGAATTGATAAAGTGAACGGGCTAAGAGTACGTACTCGGGCTGCGAAGTAGGCGACGGAAACCAAATGAACTACAGCGATGATGGTCGTCGTTATGGCGAGGGCTCGATCTCTCCGGCAAATGGAAGTCGTTGAGGTCGAGCCTCCACGAAAAGCTCTTCTCCGGCGAGAGTCCGGCGATGTCGACCGGCGGCGATGGCGAGAGAAGAGGTTCTCTTCTGTTGCAGTCGTCGGCGACGATGCTCGGCGACGACGGAATACTACTCGCACTTCCGCCGCCGATGTTCTCCATTCGATGATGGTGATGATGTTCACTCATCTTTCACGCTTATGAAGCTTATACTACGTAAATCTCTCTCTATATGTATTTATATCTGTTTGTGTGTGCAAAAAAAAAAAGAGTATGGGATTTAGACCAAAAAATATATATATATATATATATATATAACCAACTCCACTTACGACGAGTAC